ATATATATATATATATATATATATATATGTATATATATTTAGTTTAAAGTGTTAAAAATCTTTAATGCAATTAACGCAGGGGCGGAGCTAGTGTTGACCACCCCACTCACAACTGTTGCTTTTGTCTCTTTTTTCTTGACAAGAATTGCGGTTTGGGGGAAACTCAAAAAAAAAAAAAAAAATATATAAATATATAATGTTGTATTTAAGTATATAATATATACTTACTATTATTATAATATATAATATAAATTATTTAATATTATTATATAATATATATTTTAAGTTTAAAAAAACAACGGTAGACAAGTCCCAGGAAGGAACACTGTCAGGGCATGCTGGCATCAAACGCCTAACCCCATGCATAAACGAAGAGACAATTGGCACACCCACGGGGCATTCTCAATGTGTCATAGCTATGCTGAGTTGAATTAACCTATGAAAGAGAACTGTGATAGATACTAAGAAGACAAAATACTGACTAAGAAAACTGTTAGCACAGGTTCTGTGGAAAAAAAACATGTATATTTTTTGCACATTTAATGGAAAGAGACTCAAATGTCTGCACACACTTCAGCAATTTATTTTTCAGATTAAGCCCATATGCTAGTGTGCGCTGCATGTAATGACAAGACTCATTATTGACAAGGCTCATCAGTTCCTGACCTTTATCTCTTCATATTGCCACATCTTTAATCTACTAATCCACAGGGTGGGAAAGACACTGGATGCTATAAAAAGGTTGTTAATGAGCTCCAGCGGTTCACTTTGGGTACATAAACAATCTAAGTGCTGTTGAACAGATGCCACTGAGCAGAGGTCTGTTTTTGAGGCAGCTCTGATTATTGTGTATCTTGCCTGTATGCTGACAGATGGGGCAGGTCTGAGTGCTCTAAGTGCACGGCTGTACAAGATGCTCCTATGGGGCCTGCCTCGTCGCCGGAGAGTCCGAGTGGCCCTGTTAAAAATGGATGAGGGAGAGGCATATGCATAACAGCATGGCAGCCCTCACCACATTGCTGCACACATGTCCACTCGGTGGAACAGCAACACAGGGCTAATAACCCACAGCGGCCCAGAGAGGGAACCTGGAATGTCAAAGAGGCAGTGATGGACTCCAGGCTTCAAATCACCAAAGGTAAAAATAGAAATTCCCAACTGAAAGTTCAAAGTTCCCCAGACACCTACGGTCCCTTGACAGCATCACTCGTGAGTTATTTAAACACAGGCTCTCTCAGGATATTTCCTTCACTGTTAGCAGTGACACTTTTGTCTAATGGAATCTATGGAAAACTTTGCTATGGACACTATTTTTCACATAACGCTTACAAAGACCCCTGTAAACATCTCTGCAGATGTTCCTCTGAAGCTACACGAATGCCGAAGGGTCTATTTGTTAAGAGTTTGCATCTGCAATACATCGCATTCATTCATTGTCGAATGCTAGAATGATATTCAAGCAGATGTTTCACAACAGAGCGTGTGAATCTGCTTTGAGACGTTTATCAGATATTTGCAAATGTGACCCTTAAAATAGAAAGCGATGCATTCCAGATAATGCACTTATTGACCAACATCTTAATGGGTCATACCCAGCTATATAGTATGGAGGAAAGAGAATATTAATGATACGAGTTCAAGTTTTACACAAGTTTTACCATCTCAGTGTTCTCAATGTGTTTGCGTGACACACTAACAACTGACAATGGTTTATAAAGCTAAATATGCTGCTTAACTTGAATGAATCACATGAAAACACAGACTAATCCAGCCTAACTCCCATATATGGCCTGTCCTGAAAAATGACTGACAGGCTGAAAGCACCTCAAAAGTCTTCTGATTGGCTAATCTGGTCATTAGAGCACATTCACGTTCTAGCGATAACATCTGAGGCATAATGTTAAGTACCACAGAAGATCATTTTGATTCTTACCCTTTTTTGCATCTCAATTTGGCCAAAATAATGCACTTACAATGGAGACACATCATGCCAGCAATACAGAGGGTTTAAAGAGAGCCATAAACAAATTTTGCCTCACTTGTATGACTTCTTTCTCCCGTGGAACACAAAAGAAGATATTTTGAAGAATGTTTATTTTTTTTTTCCATTTAATAAAAGTCAATGGGGAAAATCAAAACAGAACAAATAAAATAAAATAAAATAAAATTACACTGAAGACAGAAAGTCATGCAGGTTTGGAGGTTTGGAACAACTGTCTGTAAATACACGTTCAATGACTGATAAGCTGTTCGGTGAACATTCTTACAACAGTCAGTCTTAAATAATAGATCTAGATTTTAATAATGAAGGAGAAAATGGCATGGAATGCAGTTAAAAATTTATTTATTTTGGATTGGTTTAACCATTTTTAAATCACCTTGAGGGTGTTCAACTCAATATAATATACGTAGCTGGGGATTTACTGCGGAAAGCTGTTTTTAAATGCTTTAAAATGAATGGCCTTCACCACACTAACTCACTAAGCTGAGAAGTGAGCTACATTCTTTGAGTGCTCAAAGCAGCTGGTGGTATGCAGAAGTTTTTTTATGTGCGGTTCAGCTGAGGTTAGAGACGTGCTACGCATGCAATCCCCACGGGGTTCAACAAGACTGATTCAGCTAATGAGTAACAATGCCTTGTCACCTGCTTTCTTTTCTCAAACAGCAAGGACAACCATCCTGACAGAGTCATTAAAAAGGACGCTCGCATATGAATTTCCCTTGTGCCTGATGTCTTAGTGCTGATCTTGAGTCATATTTGGAGTAACAACAACTCGCTCAGCCGATGTTCAAGGTGACATCAAGCAAAGGCCTAAATATATCCCTGGTGCCTTGTTTGTCGTGCCTTTAATAAGCTCTGATTTAAAGATAAAGGCTACTAATTGACTTTCAAAAGGACTGTTTATCATGTGTGCATAAATATGTCACATCACTACCAAGCTGTGGCTGCAAATATATGAACATGTAACATCTTGGTGGTAACATCAATTAAAATGCTCACCAAGGCTGTATTTTTTGCCCAGTAATACAGTAATATTGTAATATTTTATTACAATGTAAAATAACTGCTTTCTATTTTAATATTTTCAAATGCAGTTCATTCCTATGATCAAAGCTGAATTTTCAGCATCATTACTCCAGTCTTCAGTGTCACATGATCCTTCAGAAATCATTCTAATATGCTGATTTGCTGCTGACTAAATATTGCTTGTTTTTATCAATGTTGAAAACAGTCATACTGCTTAATATTTTTGTGATCAGTGAACACTTTTAATTTTTTTTAAACTTTACCCATTTATAGACAATTTGTCTTACTGTGTGGACTGATGACTAATGTGTAGAGATATTTCTGCTTTAAGTAAGTCAACAATGGTTAATCTTCAGCATTCAGACATCTCTTTTGTACGAGGTATGGTTCACATCAGGCAATACATCTTGTGAATAGCAAACTCCATTTTTTTTTACCCTGATCAGCACTTTCAATCTTGTCTCATTAATTTGATTCTACATTAGTTTTAGCTAAGATATTACCTTAGGGATTCACATACATTTTCCACTTTTCATGTAAATGTATCATTGTGTGTATAATACTTGCTTAAGCAGATTGTGTGTTTCTGTTGAGATCTGGTTAAAGATTAGATAAAATATATACAGGAAACCAGGTTAACTTAAGTTACTTTTAATGATAAACCACAGTGGAATATTAACAAATGGGAGAAAAAAAAGCAAGAAAAAGAGAAAATAGTATCAAATACAACTGAATAATTTTCTGCTTGAACAAGCATCTCTATTAAACTGTGTAGTAGGAAATCTTTATGATTCAGACACCTTCTATGATGCCTATTTAAGGGTCTTCCTATTATACTGACCATGAGTGAATGTATGTATAGTGCTAGTCTCTTTTATTCACAAGAAAAGCATTTACCAATCTGCATTCATATTGATACTATAGCCTTTGGCTCAGCAGAAAATGAATGTCAATGTAGAACTCAAGCCAATACAAGCCATGCAAAAGCTGCACACTGGACTGTGAATTAAAAAAAAACATTCATAGTCACTTGAGGAAGATAGACACACAATTCAAAAAACATTCATGCACACATCCATATAAATGCAAAAATCATATGCAAATTAGAAATATCAAATATACATCATTCTTTACACTTTGTAATTGCATCCCTGGAATAGCCTTGAACCTCTAACAAGCATTTGTAGCTCAAAAGGGCAACAGACCTTTTGTCACTAAAAATAAAATGCAAACTAATTTGTTTGAGGAAAATATCTGAATATGGATTTGAAAGTCTGTAAGAGGGAGTTTGATGATGATGGTGATGTGAAGGATGAAGAATATAATGATAAATTTGCTTGGACTCACCTCCACCTGTTGACAAATCTGGATGAGTTTGGCCATCTGGTGAGAAAGGAGAGAAAGACATGAACGAGATGAACAGCTGATATTAATGACATGAGAGGAAACAAAAAAGCAGCCCGAGTGGACTGAAAAGCAGGAACGATGGGAACAACAACATTGGCATTCAAAAGCGAGAACAGAGCCTTTATGTTCTCTTGTTTTGTGTTGTTGGCTATTCATGCATATGTGATGCAGCCTGACCCTGTCCACCGGCACGTCCCCCCGTCTATGGCCCGAAACGCTGTCTTGCACACATCCAATACATAGATTGTAAAAGGCAGCCAGTGACTCACCGTGGCACTTGTCTTTGATGCCTCCATAACCGCTTCAGAAACTCTGGCAGGGCTCACTTGAAAAGCCTATGAACACACACACATACACACAGCCTTACTGGTCTGGCCCACTGATGGACGGAAGTATTATTGCCCCTGCTCTGTCCGACGACTGGTTTTCAGCCTCTCGCGTGCTTTATCTCTCCTGCTCTGCCGGGTAAATGGGCTGGAAGCACCTCAGAGCAGGTGAGGGTGTCTATGTCAGACTGCTTATTCTCTGTGCGCTGATAGCTTGCTTTACTCGGGGGCTTGTTGCGTCAGGCAGTCGCAAGTCGCTTGTTTGGTGTGTCAGCATTTTAAAATTCAAGCTCACCCAGCAAGGACAGATGGGGGTCATTAATTAAAGACTGAACAGTCAAGGATGATTTATACATCAAAACCAAGTATCACCTCCCAGGAGACAGAAGACAAGCTGCCGAAGGTGAACGAGCTTGGAGCCCAATTGAGTGAGGGAGAGAGAGAGAGAGAGAGCGAGAGAGAGAGAGAGAAAGAGAGAGTGTGACTGATAGTGAGAGGAAGGAAGGAAGGCAATGAAAGGAATGACAGAAGGAAGGAAAGTACAAAATAAAGAAACAAGGAAGGAAAGATATTAATTAATGAAAAAAGAAAGAAACAGATGGAAGGAAGGAAGGAAAAAAGTGAGAAATAAGAGGAAATGTAATGAAGGAAGGAACAAGGCAGGAAAGAGAAGTAAATGAAAGAAAGAAACAGAAGGAAGGAAGGAAGGAAGGAAGGAAGGAAGGAAAGAAAGAAAGAAAGAAAGAAAGAAAGAAAGAAAGAAAGAAAAAGAATAAAAGTGAGAAATAAGCAGAAAAGTAATGAAGGAAGGAAGGAAGGAACAAGGAAGGAAAGAAAAGTAAATGAAAAAGCAACAGAAGGAAGAAACAATGAATGAATGCAATTAAGAAAAGAAGGACATGAAGGGTAAGAGTCAATGAAAGACAGAAAGACAGAAAGAAATAGATAAAGAAAGAAAGAAAGAAAGAAAGAAATGAGGACAGAAGGAAGGAAGCAAGATAGGAAGGAAGGATGGAAGGAACGGTGAAAAGAGCATCTGAAGTAATGAAATAGGGCTGCATGATAAATCGCATGCGATATTTAATGCGCATCTTGTCAGTAAAGCCGTTGTTCACTGATGAGCTGCGCAAAACCACGTTCATATTCGCGCTATTTTTTGCGCAGCTCGTCAGTGAACAACGGCTCTGTGTAGTTAATGCTGCTCAATGTGAAAGCCCGCAGGTGATGGAGATTTACCGCTGATTACAGAACCGGCTTTACTGATAAGATGCGCATTAAATATCGCATGCGATTTATCGTGCAGCCCTATAATGAAAGAAGAAAATAAGAAAGAAAGAAAAGGAACAAACAAACAGAAGTAAGGGAAAGAAAAAGAAAGGTAGAAGGAAGAAAGGGAAAAAAGAATAATAACAGAAAAACAAAGGAATCGACAATAGAAAAAAAGTGGAAAAAAGGAAAGGAAAGGAAAGGAGGGCTGGTGAAAGAGAGAGAGCGGAGTGGCCTCAGGACAGCAGACCTGGTGCGGTTTGGGCTGAACAAGTCTGATAATACACACGCATTAAAGCAGACACTAGACTTCAAAGACACAGACACAGCCATGCAAGAGGAAGAGCAGAGAGAGAGACTGAAGACAGATAGAGACAGAAACACACATAAAAACTGCTTATCTAATATGAAACAAACACGGTGCTGCAGTACACAACTGACACTGTGGCATGAGTGAGTGAGAGTGAATGATACGAAGGACTAACAATCTAGGCTGTGTTTTGGGTGAATTTACTATGGTTGAATTACATCTACATATACTGCTTATATTAGCAAACGATTCACAAAAAGAATCAAATAACAGCTTGAATGAATCAAATGAATCAAACTCGGTTGGAAAGCTCTAGTCCAAATGATTCAGTTTGACTAGACCTTGTTATCAGATAAGAGATTATCCCAGATACAGAGGGAAGGCGAGATGTACAAGATATTTGTTGAGTTGCTGTTTGATGCGCACACTGTAGGCGTTACATGCTTTAACAGGCGTGCGCCGCTTCCATTAAGTTCTGGGTCAGAGCTACAACAACAACAAATCCTGAAAAATAATTCCATCCTGAGGCGAGAAAACAGACTTCAAAGTGGGTGTGTTTAATTATTCTGTGATCCTCTCCTCTTGTGTTTTTTGAGGGAACACAATGCGGAAACACAGCAACCACACTAACAACGGGCGGTTGAGTGCGTGCATGTGTCAGCAACCAGAGCCTGCTGGGAAATGTCGCTCGCAACGGATAATATTCCAAACCAGCACTCTCCAGAGACTCGCAAACTCGGTCTAATGAGAAGCCACTGCTGTTTCTTACCAGCCTCCGTTCTTCTAATTAATTAGACAGAGTCATTTAATTCTGTTTACATTACCCTTGTTTGAGGCTTGTCTGGGGAGTGCCATTAAGCTTTTAACACAGTGGAATACACCCCCTTCTCTTCATCAAAAATAAAAAAATCAATCCCATAATGCTGTTTAAAGTTTTGACCCCATCAAACCATCTAGCATGCCTATACTTCTAATACAAATAAAAATGTACTGTCGAGGTTAGACAGTGCAGGTGTTTTTTTTTTCTCTCCTTGAGAACACCTTATCCATATGGAAGATTATTTCTGGCACAATAAATTTTTTTTTTAAAAAGGTAATCGCAAAGTTAACATCTCACAATTCAGATTTTTTTTGCTCTGAATGCTGAGTTCACATCTCACAATTCTGACTTTTTTTCAGACAATTTTGAGAACACCTAACAATTCAGACTTTTTTTCTCGTAATCCTGAGCTAACGTCTCACAATTCTGACTTTTCATAATCCTGAGTTAATATCCCGCAATTCTGACTTTCTTCATAATTCTGAGATAACGTCTCTCAATTCTGATTTTTTTCTTTTAATCCTGAGTTAACATCTCGTAATTCTGACTTTTTTCATGATTCCGAGTTAACATCTCTCAATTCTGACTTTTTTCTTGTAATCCTGAGTTAACATCTCGTAATTCTGACTTTTTTCATAATTCTGAGTTCACATCTCGTAATTCTGATTTTTTCATAATTCTGAGTTAACATCTCTCAATTCTGACTTTTTTCTTGTAATCCTGAGCTAACATCTCGCAATTCTGACTTTTCATAATCCTGAGTTAATGTCCCGCAATTCTGACTTTCTTCATAATTCTGAGATAACGTCTCTCAATTCTGATTTTTTTCTTGTAATCCTGAGTTAACATCTCGTAATTCTGACTTTTTTCATAATTCTGAGTTAACATCTCTCAATTCTGACTTTTTTCATAATTCTGAGTTAACATCTCTCAATTGTCTTTTTTTCTTGTAATTCTGAGTAGCATCTCACAATTCTGAATTTTTTCATAATTCTGAGTTAACATCTCGTAATTCTGACTTTTTTCTTGTAATCCCGAGTTAACATCTCGTAATTCTGACTTTTTTCATAATTCTGAGTTAACATCTCTCAATTCTGACTTTTTTCTTGTAATCCCGAGTTAACATCTTCATAATTCTGACTTTTTTCATAATTCTGAGTTAACATCTCTCAATTCTGACTTTTTTCTTGTAATCCCGAGTTAACATCTCGTAATTCTGACTTTTTTCATAATTCTGAGTTAACATCTCTCAATTCTGACTTTTTTCTTGTAATCCTGAGTTAACATCGTCATAATTCTGACTTTTTTCATAATTCTGAGTTAACATCTTCATAATTCTGACTTTTTCATAATTTTGAGTTCACATTTCGCAATTCTGACTTTTTTTCCGTAATTACGAGTTAACATCCTGCAATTCTGACTTTTTCCTTGTAATTTGAAGTTAACATCTTGCAATTCTGACTTGTTTTTCTCAGAAATACAAATTCATATCTCACAATTGCAAGTTTTCAACTAGTAATTGTGAGTTTACGTCTCACAATTCTCACTTTTTTCATGCAATTCTGAGTTTACATCTCGCAATTAATCTTTTCTCAGCAAAAAGTCTGAATTGTGAGATATAAACTCAAAATTCTGAGATAAATCGCAATTACCTTTCTTTTTTTTTATTCCACGGCTGAAATAAGCTTCCATACTTCCCTGACCTCACATTCTCTATCCATCTACGTATTCCACCGGGAACAGATCATCAGCCTGAAGACCACAGAGAGGAAGACATGAGACTCCACCGACTAACCGGCTTGAAGGTTAAAGGGACGAGTGTCAGAGGAATTTGCTTGCTCTCATGGGGAAAACGAATACCTTGAGGGAAAATGTGCTTCATGCAAAACAACTTAAGAGAAATGTGTTTGAGTTAATTACACCCACTGAGGACATTAAAAGGAACGGAATTGCTAAGTTAGACAATAATTAATTTTAATCAAACGCAGAGCTTCTTTGAGCAACACAGAGGTGCCTCCGCTTGTCAGAGTCTGAGGGTACAAGGACACTTCAGCTTCTACCAACAGACATTAGAGAGGTTACTTAATCATATTTAATTTATAAACAATATCAAGGCAGTGCAGGATTAAAGAATATTCATTAAATATGCCAAACAAGGCTCTGCAAATCAGGGCAGTTTTCTTTCCTGTGTTTACTGTATGTAGCTCCTATTGAAAGGTGGGAAATATTGAACTTCCCTTGTAAAAAAGATTTTGGGCAGTCTTGAGTTGATGGATTTCACAGAAAATCGTGCAGTCTATGATGGGCACAGACTATGAATCCATCAGTCAGAGGATATCAAACAGGTTTGTTATTTTGAGAACACATTTTAGAACACATAATGTTTTAATTTGCCATGCATCTGTTTCGGAAAGACTTTAACGTCTGGTAGTGTGTGATCCTCAGTTGCTTAGTGCACGATGCCCAGGTTTTCTGTGTAACCATTTACAAAATCAGTAAGTGTATGATACCTAGTGTTTAAAAATCTGTTCAGATTTTAAAAGTCGCATAGTTTACTCTAGACTGAGATTTGTATGCTTTTTTAGGTAAAGAGCGTTTACATAAAACAACAAG